GTCTTAGGGTGCAGCCAAGAGTACTCCTTAGAGCCAAAGAAGATAAAGCTTTGTCTCCCATGTTGCTGGAAGAGGCTACATCTTGGAGAGGGCCGATGGAGTGGAAGTCCTTCAACCGGATGGATTGACACAATGACTGCAGCAGTGGGCTTCAGTGTATCAGACTGTGAGGATGGCACAGGTTGGGAGAGGGTCCCGATCAACATAGTGATCATAGCACAGGGTCGCTATGAGTTTTACTCCAGATGGCACTTAACAGGAATTAACTTTTAATGTTGTTTGAAGTACGCTATGTCTGATAAAAACCTTGGATTATCTTAAGAAATGTATTTGCACTAACAGGTTATTTGTTTATAAACAATTTAGGTGTTGTTCAAGGAATGATAACAGGAATTCGAGGGTTGTGCAATGGTCTGGGACCCGCCCTTTATGGATTCATATTCTATATATTCCATGTGGAACTTAAAGAACTGCCAATGACAGGAACAGACTTGGGAACAAGCACCAGTCCTCAGCACCACTTTGAACAGGTATTTATTCACATGGTAGGTATTGTATAGGTCATCTGAGTGGAGTAAAAGAAATCGTAAGTGAATTTTATCACTAAAGCTTTTCTGTGGGAAGTCTTCGTATTTTATAGAAAACCCTTTAAAAACAAAGCCTAAGGAACTGTGCTCTCTTGTGTACCTGAGAAACTGGCCATGCTATTTACTATTTTCTAGAATATAAATCCTTCTATATTCTAGAAATATTTTTAATATAAATTATATTTCTATAATACAGAATATGTACAGTATTTCATTTTATATAATTAATATTTATGCCATCAAATTGGTACTGAGCCATAGCTGACCCTCTCTAGCAGGTTTTCAGAGGCAATGAATCGCACAGGAATTGCACAACGAATTGCTCATCCTTCTCTGTTTGAGTGGCTGGTGAATTTGAACCACAGGCCTTTGGGATTGTAGCACAGAATCTTACCATTAGGCCACCAGAGTTCCATATACTTAACTACAGAAAATAGTACTTATTTTACCATATTCTAAGAAATTTAATTGTGTTGTCAAATTACTTCATGGCATATGTCAAATCATCATTGTATACTACTCTTTTGTTCAGACTTTTCTAATTGAACAGTTCCCTTTGTTGCATCTTTCTCCATCAGAGCAACTGGTGGATTTGAACCACCTATCTTTGGGTTGGCAGTGCTTACAAGGAATTATTCATCAGTCACCTTCACTTTCTGCCTCTGCAGCTTTAAAAATCACTAAAAAGGTTTTGATCCTTTTCTTGTAAGGTTAAGCAAGAACCATATGGGCCTATTCTAACTGGCAAAGTTCTGTGTTTATGTGTTGATTGTAACCCAAAGGCAGGTACTATAATGCAGTTGACTTTATGTTTGGAACCTTTCTGGTGTTGATTTAGAACACTGGTGATCAGATTTGGTGCTGAAAATGGCAGTATGATATCTTTGCATTGGCTTGGGTCCCCCTGACCCCCAATTTTTTGGTTCTGTTTCTTGAACCATTTTAGTTTAACCTTAGGGTTTTGATATTGAAAATGTGATAATCATTGTCCCTTTTCTCCTATGTAGGAGAAATGTTTTCTTCACTATGGCTTTAGTGAGGAACATCTTTACTGCCTTTAACACATATCAGTTATTAGTAACAGATAAGCAATTTCATAAGAACAGTTATTTGTGCAAAATTTCTGATTACCTTTTCCTTCTTCAGAATTCCATCATCCCTGGCCCCCCCTTCCTCTTTGGAGCCTGTTCGGTACTGCTGGCTCTGCTTGTTGCCTTGTTTATTCCGGAACATACCAACTTAAGCTTACGGTCCAGCAGCTGGAAAAAGCACTGTGGTAGTCACAGCCATCCTCACAGTACACAAGCCCCAGGAGAGGCCAAAGAACCTTTACTCCAGGACACAAATGTGTGACAACGAAATCAGGAAGATTTTTCTATCAGCACCCAGGTCTTAGTTTTCACCTGTAGTTCTGGATGTACATTCCATTTCCATCTACAATGTACTTTGAGATTGTCTTAAGAAATGTATCTGCATGAACTTCATGGGAACTAAAGAAAGAACAGGACAGTTTTCCAAAGATGTTACAATTTCTTTTAAAAAGAAGCTTTTTGTTTAAATTAGCACCAATTTTCTTGCCACTAAGCATTTGTTTTATTATACATCTTTTAATTAAAAACGGTGTGTAACTTCTTAGCTATTAGCATATGTCTCTGCTACCATTTCCCTAAGGTGTTGAGCTTTAACTATGCTGAGTCTCAGTGAGACAGAGTAGGTAGTATGGTTGTGGACCTGTTTAACATTGTAAAGTCTTGGGTCAAATAATTCAAAGCCTTAATGCAGATGCACTAAAGTAAAGAAATGGTAATTAATTGTTTGCATTTAAAAAAACCAACAAAACAGTCAAGAAAATTTTACTAAATCTGAATCATGTTTCAAGCTTCTTTACAGTTAATTTTACTTTAAATATTATTCACTACTGTTTTTGAAATGAGAAAAAAAAATACCAGACATTTAGAACTTAAATTGGGGTGTGTAGAGTCTGTAAATCTAACTATTGGCTCATTTGTCTCCCCAGATACTTATTATACCACTATTCTTTTAATGTTTGCATAATCATAAGAACCTCAACACTTGAATACATAATCTAAAAATTATATAGTAAAGCTGGTAGCCTTGAAAAATGTCAATGTGATATCTATATGTAAATAAATATATATAGTGGCATTTCAGGACTGTCACAGTAACACTTTATTTACAGAGCTAATGTTTGTCCTAAATTTTCAGGACCCTAGAAGAGAGCTTTATACAATTACTGATGTGAATTTCTCTAAAGTGTATATTTTTGTGTCCAGTTATATTATTTAAAAAAGTGTTACTTTGTAAAAATTGTACATAAAGTATTGTATAGTTTACAATGTTTTCATCTTGTGTGTGGTTATTGCTTAATGCTTTTTAAACTTGGAACATTCACTAAGGTTAAATAAGGTCTTAAAAGAATGTAAATATTGTTAATAAAAATGAAATATTTTAATGAATTTTTTAAATGTCTTGATCTATAATTCCCTAAGGACCTCAATGACTATTTGCATAATCCATTTTACAGTAACTAATCAAAGCTTTCATGCTTTCTCTTTGAATCTATTTCTTTTCAAGGTATTTCTTGAAGAAAGGAAAACTTAAAAAACTGAGATCTTCCAGTTAATTTAGCTTCTATGCATAGATGTTACATATGAATTCTATTTTTGTTTTTATATACTTTTTACATCATACACACTCCCAAAGTAATTTGAATATTTTATTCACAAAGTTCACACATTTTCAGAAATACATTAAATGCAACATTTTGATTATTAACACATGTACAGTTTTTTACATATACAGTTTTACACTGCAAAATTTCCAGAGTTTTTAAGAGGTAGAACAAAGAATTAGCACACTCAGATTTCATATATACATTTAATACACAGAAGTTTTTTAAGAGTTGATACCTGTCATATATTCTTTCAAATTTTCCATGTATATATTGAAAATATTTAAAAAGACTACCAGCATGCTGTATTTCCCATCCCAGCCCTGTCACAATGTTTATATAGTACATAATATTTACAACTGCAGATTCTAATATCACCAAGAGGCATTTTTCCAGATTAATCAGTGTTTTCAAGTAAGTTATTACAACCTAGTTACAACATATTCTTACTAATGCAGTATATCTAAATGAGGAGCAACTGTATATAAAAAAATTAAAAACGAAAAAAAAAATTAAAAACGCTATTATTTATGTGTTATTTTTTACTTAATCATGTTTAAGGTAGCTTGCAATTCCAGTTTTATCCAAAGTTTTAGACGACTCAATAATGGCTTTTTTTAAAAAAAACAACTAGAAGACATTTGTCTTACCAAGGAACCCTATTTTATACCTTGCAGTGCCTCTTTCTCATCTGTGTAATAAAATACTTGAAAATAATTCTTACATCATAAGTAATAGAAACTCTTTGTAAACAAACTTATACTGAAAATTTGTAAGAGAATGGTATCTGTTGTCACTGAAAGAACCAAAATGGGAACCCTTTGATTCTCTGTAAATTTTTTTTCTCTGTAAATTACCTAACTTTATCCAAGAAACAATTCCTGAGATTATTTTATTTTAGATAAAGGGAAAAAGATTTGTAACTTTTAACATGCATTCTTCTGCCTACTTTACTAAACATTAATCTAAGTTCTAATTAAAAAACTTTCATGCTCAGATAGCAAAGACTATACTGTATCATACCAAACTTTAAACCAGCTTCCATTGACAGAGCTGTTACATGGTAAACTAATAAAATGTTTATACTTTGAAAGAGCAGCACTACAATCTTAGTGCTTTTCAGCTCAGATGACTGAAAGCACTTCATATCAAATCTGGTCATATTGTCCAGCTGTAAACTTAGTTATTTCATTAAATTCTTCAGTAGCAAATTTACTCACTATGAAAATTTGATTGATTTATTCCTTTAAGGTAATTTTAGGACTTCCTTAATGTCATCTGTAATAAAGATCTCAAAATAATAATTTTCCTTCATAATCTTCAGGTGGCCAATTAAATTCTTTTGCCAATGAAAATGATTAAAATGAAACGAGAATTCTTTGGTTTCATAATAACATGTGCTGAGCAGTTTTCAATTTACTCAGATATACAATATAATTAGAATTCCCCATACGGATCAATCTGCTCCTTAGAACTAAGCAGTAATTTAATGAAACTCATGTATCTATTCTGAAATAGCACCATTGTCCACAAACAAAAAAAGAGTATAATTTACTCAGAATCTCACTATACTCAAATAGTACAAATTTGTTCCTCTAAAATGTTTTACATAAATGATAGCAGTATTTAATAATGGAATAAACCATCAATGAATCAGCTTAAGCACATTATTAAAAGGATGTGGGTTATGCTGTTCACACACCTGAGTCTATTTATTCGAATTAACTGGTTGGTAACTGCCCAGGGAAATAAGCTGAAGACATAGAAGGGAGCACTGTGGGTTTTGAGGCTGGCTGTAATGCACTTAAAGTGCCATCTTTTTGGTGGTCTGCAAATGAGAAGAAAAAAAAGATTTGCCTGTTCACTTAAATTCTGATACATTCTTATGGTTAAACCAAATGTACAAAATCAATTTCCAAAATGACTTCTCACCTGCATTATTAAATAGGTTCTGGCTGAGTCCACGTAAAGGAATGCTATCTTCCCTTTTCTTCAGATATTTTGATTCCAACCCCAAATTTTCACCACTTAGAAAGCAAATGGTAATCATTAACTTAAATATTCAGAAATCAATTTTGAAGGCTTAACTAGTATAGAAAAAATAAAACTATATTATGCTTTAATACAACTTTATTCAAAATCAATCACACTGTTCAAATTTCTTTAGCAAATAAACTCTACATAACCAAAGAACCTTCCCAATAAAGAACAAAGTATTATAAATCAAGCTAAAACTTTCTAAGAACTAGGAAAAAGAGCTGGTTAGGGAAAAGGAAATGCCACACTTATAAAATCTGTACTAACGTGATAACGTGATAGAAGGAACACCCACACCCACACAGCTTTAAAAACCATTTGGTAGTTTTATCTCTTGTATTTAAAATTAACACATTTCTTTTTCTATTGATCAAATACTCTTAAAATTATACAGTGCTTCAAAGTCATAAAATTCTAATGAAAATTATATAATGATAAATTCTGGTTAAGAAAAAAAAGCCATTTGGATTTTAGAAAAATAATGAACATTTCCACAGTTGCATTCTCCCTCCCACCCCTTTTCTATTTCCTTTTTTCTAAATGTGGCTGCATACTCATAAGTGAAAAGTTCTTGTAGCAAAACAGTAACATACTCTTCAAACTCAAGGAAAACCTCTACAATTTTATGCAGTTAATTGACAAGTAGATTTATTTTTCAACTTTACGTTTTCTTAAATCTTTGATATCCATTGCTATTTTTTTACTAGTTAATAGTTCTAAACAAAAAGTAGCTGAACTGTCTGAAGTTTTATGGACATGAATATTTGTGATCAGCCTATTTTTAACTAATAGAACTGTTCCTGGTTTCTATAACGGATTTAAATATGTAAACAGTTTGTGATATTCTACCACTAAATGCCTCTGTCTTTTAAACAAATGTTAAGATTTAAGATAAAAAACACATACTTTTCAGCACCTCACAATTTAGAAATTGGTTCCAAATAATAATTATTTGGTAAACATTAACAATTTCCAAAGATTTAATGACTATTATTGAGTAACATAAGGATTCTCTGAAATAGATTAACTTGTGATGTACTGAGATGCTAACAGGTCAGGTCAGAGTAATGAAGACACTTAAGGCCACTAAATATTAAGTCAATGGGAAGTCATTAAAAGCAGTATTCAAATCATGAAGATTAGACTTGCAGACAAATTTGCATGCATGATGTATTTGCTGTAGCCAAAATCTTCCGTATGGAGAATATGGTTTAAGATCTAAAACACTGCAGAAAACTTCCTGAGCAAGCGTATCAGAAATTACAAACAGGGTTTAAATCCTGTTTAACATTGGAAGAAGTTAGAAAAGGAGCTAATTATGAAGAATTAAAAATCTGTCCATCCACATACCTAAAAATATTTAAAAGGACAATCTTGAGGAAATACTTACTTTTCCTTATCAGTTGCTCCTGCCTGAACATCTCCTACAGCTGTGTTTGGTTTTGTAAACTGTAAGTTAAACTTAACCTATGAAATGAGAAAACAGGTAGCTAAATTACTGAGAACTCATACAGCTCAATACTGAGGTGATAACTAGTCAGGATGTACCCCAAGTCACAGCAATTCTGTATAGAATGGGGCTCTTACAAGCAACATACGTTGTTATGCAGAGGGGTTGCTATGTGATGTAGATAGGCTGATTTTTCAAAAGTAGAATGCCAGGACTGCCTTTCTAGTCTTAGTCTAGAACTTTCACTGAAACCTTTTTGGAATCATAGCAGCATGCAAGCCTCCACCAACAGGTGGTGGTTGTACACTGACTGGAATGGGCTCTAGCACAAATGGCATGATTTGAACCACTGCTCTGTTCACACTGATAAAAGAACTGAAAAACCCAAACTTCTTCCTGAGCTGCGCAGCAATCCTAAAGGGACGTGGTTCGAATCCACCAGCTGCTCAGTAGGACAATGATGAGGAATCTCCTTCCAGGTGATTTACTTCTTTTGAGAACATGCTGTAGCATCAGCTGTAGGCTGGTTTTGAGAGCTTGTTTGGAGGTTCAGGCACGGGTGCACTGCTACTCATATACACTTGACCGAAGGATGGTCTTCTTCTCTCTCAGGGATGGTCATCTTTGTCGACCGAGCACGCAGCTTCGGAATGAATGCATGTGGATCGGTGAGGGAGGAAGGGGACACCAGCTGGCCTTGCCAGCCAGATCAGCTGTATCAACTCTGGGCTTACAGATATCGCAGCCAAATTACCCCTACATCCTGTGGGTTGGTTTTGATTCAACAGTACACAGTAACAACAATGATCCTACAGGACAGCAGAACTGTCCTATAGGGTTTCTAAGGCTGTAAATCTTTACAGAAGCTGACTGCTACACCTTTCGATCATGGAGGAGTTGGCAGTTTAAGTTAGCCAAACTCTTAACCACTCTGCTCCCAAATCTCCTTCATATTGATTTAAAACTCAAACCCTCACTGAAGTCTGATCAGAACCAACTCATGGCTGACCCTTCAGCAGGCTTTCAAAGGTTTTAAATTGCACAGGAGACTGCCACAGAGCATTTGATGGATTTGAACTGCCTACCTTTGGTAGCATACTGGCAAAAATCAAGGCCCCAAGAATTGACAATACATGAATTGACATATTTCCACAAACAGATACCAAGTTGTGCGAAAAAATATGGAACACAAACACCTAGCCAACTGGGAGAGATCTCTATTTGTTCCCATTCCAGAGAAAGGTGATCCAGCAGAGTGCGGAAATTATCAAACAGTATCATTGATAACACATGCAAGCAAGATTCTGCTGAAAATGTTCCAAAACTGACTGGAACAGGACATCAACAGAGAACTGCCGGAAGTGCAGGCTGGATTTAGAAGAGGCCGTGGCACTAGGAATATTATAGCTAATGTTAGATGGATCTTGGCAGAAAGCAATGAGTACCAGAGGAATGTCTGTTTCATTGATTATCCAAAGACGCTTGACTGTGTGGATCACAACAAACTGTGGCTGACTCTGAGAAGAATGGGAATCCCAGAACACTAGATTGTGCTTATGTGAAACCTATACTTGGACCAAGAAGCAGTCATGAGAACAAGAGCAAGGAAACACTGCACAGTTCAAAACTGGAAAGGGTGCAGGCCAGGGATGTGTCCTATGTCCATACCTTTTCAATCTATATGCAGAACTGATTATCTAAGCGGCTGGGCTCTGTGAGAAGAAATGTGGTATCAAGATAGGAGAAAGACTTAGCAATAATCTGCATTATGTAGACACACCCCTGCTTCCTGAAACTGAGGGGGATCTGAAGTGCTTGGTGCAGAAGGTCAAGGTCTGCAGCCTTCAATATGGACTGAAGCTCAACATCAAGAAAACAAAGATTCTCACCACTGGGCTGATTGGCAACATCATGATGGATGGTGAAGAGACAGACTGTTAACAGGTTTAGTTTGCTTGGCTCTATAATCAACTCTTGGTACCAGCAGCCAGAAAATCAAAAGAAGAATTGCATTGGTAAAGTCTGCTGTCACAGACCTCTCCAAAGTACTGAAGAGTAAGGATGTCAGTCTGGAGACTAAAGTGGCCATGGTCTTTGCAACCACTTGCTACGGATCAGAGAGCTGGACAATGACTAGGGATGACAAGAAGAATTGATGCCTTTGAGCTGTGGTGTTGAAGAGTATTGAATATACACCATGGACTGCTAAGAGAACAAATAAGTCTGTCCTGGAAAGGGTGAAGCCAGGCTGCTCCTTGGAGGCAAGGATTCTGAAGCTTCGTCTGACATACTTTGGGCATGATGCAAGGAGGGACCAGCTCTTGGAGAGGGACATCATGTTTGGGAAAGTGGAGGGACAGTGCAGGAGAGGAAGACCCTCTATGAGGTACATTGATACAGTGACTGGAGTAGTGGAGGTGGGTGTGTCGGAGGCAGTGAGATTGGAACAGGACAGAGCAGGGTTTAGGGCAGTTGTACAAAGGGTTGCTGAATCACCTGTGACTTGAGAGCACATATTACCACAACTACCTTTGGCAGCACAACTCCACACCCACCAGTCTACCAGAAAATCTTCATATTGATAAAATGTAGTTAAATATTTATTCTGAGAAATTCACATCATAAAAATAAAGGTTCAACTTTTCTAACACTCAAGCACATTTCACCAAGATTTAGTTTAAAAAGTTAAATTTCCTCTTGTCATAAGCAAGTTTCTTGGTAACAAGCAAGATAAAAATTCTAATTATTTTCAAACATAAATGCCAATATTAATACATTTCAGTAAGTATTATATTGTTAAAACTAACCAAGTACTGCAAAGATACATTCATTCATCTCACATATTCTAGGAATTTTTCCTCTTTCAACAACTTTCAAAGCCTATCTTATATTTATTTAAGGATCCCACATGAGGGCTAAGAATTTATTTTTTTAAAAAATAGGTAAAAGTAACAAACCAATCTGAAAAAAAACCTAAACAAAAATGAGCAAATGAAATCTTAAGAGTTGCAACATTTACGATCAAAGGGTATATAAACGGATTTAGTATTTGAAAATCCTTAATCACCATATTAAAAGATCAAAGAAAAAATTAAGGTCACTTACATAGAAAAAGACAGTAAATATTTTTTTGAAAACTCATTAATAGGTATAGATCATTTGAGCTTAATGTGATGAAACTATCACTTAGAAAGTCCTATGCAGTTGTACTTGGTTATCAATGTTCAATATTGCTAAGTAGGAAGGTCCCCTCACAATTTTTTTTAACATTTTAGGCAATGTTAAATAGGATCTTTTCTTAGCTGGATAAACTGATTCTAGTATTTCTAATTTAAAAATATACAAACACCTTGGAAGAACTGATGAAAGGACACTTTGTCCTCTGCAATTATCAAAGGTTGTTGTGTAGCATGAAGTAAGAACTGACCAATAGCTGACCCTCCAGCACATTTTCAGACAAAAGTTTATTGCACGAGAAGAGACTGCCCATCCTTCCACTGAGCAGCTGGTGAATTTGAACCATGTGCCTTTGGGATTGTAGCACAGCTACTAGAGCTGAAGCAAGGGCAATCTGTCCTCTGCAAACAGCAAATAGGAACATGAAAATTATAGCTGTTCAAAAAGGGAAGGTTAGAAGGAGAGGTGGGGCAGAAAAAGGGAAGGAAAAACAACTCCCAAACATAAGAATGAAGAAATTTATGACCCACTTTCTACTTGGAGAACTTACAATCTGAGGTTTTGTTAAACTGAGAGGACCAAGATCAGTGTTAAGGAAAACAAAATGTATTCTGAATAGCTGAACAGAAAGCCAATTCATTTTCTCCTGAATTATCATTTTAAAAAGGAAGTTTAGGAAGGCTGAGGTGTTTAAAGACTGCAAGGCAGGAGTCTAGAGTGAAGGGAGGGAAAATCCAATGTGAAAGGCTATGTACTATACCACTGTTAACTGTAATAATATTGACATTCTGGGAAAGGTAAACTTACAGAAAAGAGTGATTGCTAGGACCTGGGGGTAGAAGGATGAACAGGTGAAGCACAGAGGATTTTTAGGACAATAAAACTGTATAATGATCTGATGACTTGGCATAATTCATTTGTTAAACTCGTAGAAATGTCATAAAACTCATACACGACAGTGTCAACTTTAAACTATGAACTTTAATTGTAAAGTATCAATATTAGGTCATCATTTGAAAACAACTGTACCAATCCCAGGTGTTCAGTATAGAGGGAAAAAAAGCAAGAAAATAGGCAGTATGTGAAAATTCTCAGCATTTTTTTGCAGTTGTTCTATAAACTTACAACTGACTGAAAATACAAAACTATGAGATACCATCTCACCCCAGTAAGAATAGCAAAATTCAACAGAACAGCAAGCAACAAATGCTGGTGAGGTTGTGGAGAAACTAGAACCCTTATTCACTGTTGGTGGAAGTGTAAAATGATGCAACCACTGTGAAAGGCGGTGTGGCACTTTCTCAAAAAGTTGCAAATAGAGATACCATTTAACCCAGCAATTACACTAGTAGGAATATACCCCAAAAAGACCGTAACTGCCACCCAAGCAGATACATGCACACGTATGTTTACTACATCTTTGTTCACAATAGCAAGGAGTTGGAAACAACAAACGAATGGATAGAGAAGCTGTGGTATATTCACACAATGGAATACTATGCTGCACTGAAAAACAAAGAACTCATATTATTCAAAATGGGTGACTATGGAGGACATTCTGCTGAGTGAAATATCCCAGTCACAAAAGGACAAATACTGCATAGTGCCACTGTTGTAAAACAGGACTGACCTTGGAGTTGAGGAGAGACTGAGAAAGATGGGTTCAATAACGTATACTGCATTGAAAGAGGTGAGGGAGAAAACCATTTAAAAGGGGTACGTGATTAGGTATTTTTGTCATGACAGGAGTCTAGAGCGAAGGCTACATGGTGGAGTGGACCTGGGGGAGGGTTTGTAAAACAAAGAAAGAATTTGTCTTTTACTTTTCCAAGAGGGTAATGTACTAGGGGGGGAAGCTGGGAGGGGAGAAAAGCAACAATGAATGAATGGAAATCCAAAGTCTCTATAAATCTTCCATTGAAGTTAATAATAACAAAAAAGGTGAAAAAAAACAAACAAACAAACAAGAAAACCACCAAAAAACAAAACTAACTGGCTGAAAATAATGGTTGGTAGCAAAGAAAATATTTTAAAAATGCAACGAACTCCAATTAGTGTGACAAAACGATGGATAGATATCAGGGAGATTAAAAAGATACTAGCTGAATTTTAACTAAAATTGCGTAACTGAAGTATGAGACGGAATTTAAAAAGTTTGGAATTCTTCCATCTTGTTAGTACTTTTGCCATTGAACTATGTATGACTCAGGGATCATGGCTCTAAACTTTTATGAACAACAATGTGTATGTTGTTAACAGCACTTATGTGTTGGCATTCTGGTGGGTTACAGGATAGGAAGTTCAAATGACAATCCAGAGGCAGAAAGGAGGGTCCAATACATCAGCTGTTCCTGGAGAGAAAGATGGGCAATTTCCTCCAGTTGGATTTACAGTCTCTGAAAGTTCACTGGAGGATTAGCTATGGAGTCAGTTCTGACTCAAGGTCAAAGATTGAGTATCATGGTCTAGACACTGTTCTAAGCAAAGGCATTAATGCACTCTTTAGTAGATAAAATTATGCAAGTAGATAAAATTATCACTTTTTTTTACAAATGGAGAAATGAAAGCACAATTGGATGTTATTTCCTGTCTAGCTTTTAGTGCCTTGGATAATTACATTATTAGAGACAGGCTTTAAATCCTAACATCTAAGTCCACTTAACCATTATTCTCAACCATAGATAATACTGTAGTTCAGCAATACAGGCACACTAATTTGTGAATAAATATAAATACATATATTAGATGTTCAAGGGAGCTCTGATGGTTTATGCTAATCCAAAGGCTACCCATCTCCAGCGCTTCAAATCCACCAGACTAAGGGGGAAAGATGGGCAGTCTCCTCTCATGATTCACAGCCTCAAAACTTAATGGAGGTCTGAAATAAGTTGCAATGTTACCACTTAATGCTTAACCAAAGAAAAAAAAATTCTGAAAAATATTTGTAGATTTATAAGTTGACAAATTCCCTCTCTTCCCTCCCCTAGTACTGCCAAACAAAACAAAAAAAAGACAAGAATTAGTTCATTTGGCTACCTTTGGTCCTGAAACTGGGTGCATGGCATTTTTGGTAGATACTGAATGTGGAAAGGTATTCTGGAATCCATATGCAGAGGACACAGGATAACCAATTCCACAAGACGGGTAAGTCAGTCTACCATCAACCTTAAAATAAAGACACAAGTGTAGAAATGAGAGAAATTAAAATTCATTCCAGTAGCATCATCCAATCCAGGAGGCATTCACATTAGTTACAATTACTAATAGTTAACAATACTTTGAAGGTCACTTTTATCTGTCATGCTACTACAAAAAACTAGTTTATTGCACAATACAAGGCTAGGATGCCTTTGTCCCATTGGGCTTTCAGCAAGAATGGGCATGTTTGGATAAAACAAACTACTAGGCCTCACTTTGAAATGAATTAAAGACCTCTGAACCATCTAAACTCTACCCCATTCCTGAATGGGGAGAAGAGGAATCAAATATTAAGGGTCATTCAGGGATATATACTTTTCTGCCAGTCTATGAGTAAAAACTTAATGTTCAATACATGACGTCACTATTAACCAATGGCCCAGGTTCACAGGAACAAAATTCATTTTTACAGGAAGCCTATCAAACTTCAAATCTTAAAAAGCAACTGTGTATATAAATGACACATGATAAAAATGTTTCCCTCTGCTATTTATTACTTTTAAAAGGTTAAGCCTATTAAGTTTTTACAAGTGTGTAGTGCAGTCCTTTGGACATCTAGCATCTGATCCACTGGAGGGTCAGAGAAAGAGAAGGTGACCTCCAACAAGATGGCCTGACAAAGTGACTAACAACGGACTAAAGTGGAAATCATAAGGATGGCACAGGCTAGGGCAAGGTCCAAATCGCCTGCTCACAGGGATGGTGTGAACTGTAAACAATGTAAGGTGGCTCATTGACACATGGCAAAACCAAACATTATGAGACTTCAACCTGTACAAGTACCATTTTCTTAACTTGGGGAGAATTCTTAACACCCTGAAAATACTTCAAGTTCAGTGTATTCACTCAAACCACTACTATCTAAACTTAAATCTTACCATATTAGAGTTAGGAGAAATTCCACTTCTGATTGTGTTGCTGCTACAATGTGCAGGTGGAGTGGCAGAAGGTCCCAATGCATCTTGTTTTCTCACTAGTTGATTTTCATTTAGTTCTTTATTTAACCATGTGATTACTTTGGTGGAAAAAAGAAATAAGACACAAAAGATTTTATTTCATCATTTTTCTTTTTCTAATAATTTTAAATATCTAAAGATTATAACGACATTTTAAAACTTCCAAGGTTTTAAAACTACCTTATGTCACTGGAAAATATAGGCTCATTAGAGTATTTTTTACTAAAGATATTTATTTTACCAACCATCACATGAGCTCCCATCCTCATTCGATTACATGAGGCACCAAGTTCTGCTGATGAGGAATCTCTGCTTTTACATGATTACTTTTCAAAGTTCTCATTTCTAAAATATTATCTTAATTTATTTAAGTTCACAATCTTATGTCTGATATCTAGTACCAATATAGCACTCTTGAAGGATTAATCTTATGTTTGAATTTAAAAAAATGTGTATTATTACTACTACTGCTTCAGCAGATTAATTACTCATATCTTAACTAAACATATGAGCAGTCTTACAATTTTTTATGTACCTAGAATATAAACATTTTAAATAGCAAACTATGGTCAATATTTTCAACACTTTGGAACTGCATGTGATACAATTTTCTTCACATGATGATAACTTTTTATAAAGCAGATGATAGTTTACTATTGTTAGGTGCCATCGAGTCACTTGCGACTCATAGCGACCCTACGTACAAGAGCCCTACATTCTGCTCTAGCCTGAACCAACCTCACTGTCTCCGACACACCTACACCAATTACTCCACAATCACTGACTCAATCCATCTCATCGAGGGTCTTCCTCTCTTGCACTGTCTCTCCACCCTCCCAAACATGATGTCCCTCTCCAAGGGCAACATGCCCAAAGTATGTCAGATGAAGCTTCAGAATCCTTGCCTTCAAGGAGCAGCCTGGTTTCACTCTCTCCAGGGCGAAAGCAAAAAACCATTTGTATATAACAATATTCTTACTTAGTTACTTCTAGTAATTCAACCAAATTTTTCATGTTCAGACTAAAATTATAAATGTCATTTACATGGAATTTAGCATACTTACACTTTTCATTATTTTTCAAAAGCTGTTTGCTTTCTTCAAGTTTTTGAACTGTAGCTTCTAACTGGTCTTGTAATCTACATACCTGAAATTTGTGAACCACACAATAAATCAAACAAAATAAAGACTAAAATAAAAACTAAAGAAACAACTTAACCATGAAATAATCATTATCATTATATAAAAAGAAATAAATTTGGTTAAAATGTTTATCTATGTATCTATCTATGTATCTATCTATGTATCTATCTATGTATCTATCTATGTATCTATCTATGTATCTATCTATGTATCTATCTATCTATCTATCTATCTATCTCCATCTCCATTAAGGAGCTTTGATGGCCCAGGATTAGGAAGCTGTGCTGCAATCCAAAAAACAAGCAGTTCAATTCCACCAGCTGCTTTGCAGGAGAAGGATGGGTAATTTCCCTTGTGATAACTGCATCTGAAAACCCGCTGGAGGGTAGGCTATGGTTCAGTTCCGACTTGATGTAACACAACATACATATATGGGTGGATACTCAAAGGATTTAAGTTGTGGAAACTAATTTCAGATTGAAATAGGCTACTAATTTCTATTAATCTAAATTATATTTTTTATAAAAAACTAGATCATGCATTTTCTAACTTAACAAAAGAGACACCTAAAAAATATAACTGAAGTTTATTAAAGTGTATAAATAACAAAGTCACACATAAGAAATAACAAAATATCAACTACCTCTTGCTCTTTAGTTCGAAGAGACTGTCCAATATCTTGTAATTCTTTTTGTTCCTTTTGTAATTTTTCTTCCTTCTCAGCCAAGAGTTTTTCTTGCTGAATAGTAACTGTATTCTTCAGTTTCAACTTACCCATTAAAGTTTTAAGATCCCCTTGTAACTTCTTGATAATTTCATTTGCCTGTAGAAGATATTCATATGCATACTTCAACATAATCTAATGGAATACGAATACTCAATCTAAAATTTTTAAGACAAACCTTAAGAAGTTCTGCTGACAATGATTTTATTGTAGCTTCAAGTTTTTCTTGTTGCACCTGACTTTTCTCTCCATTTTCTTCCAAAGCTACCTGATAAAATTTTTAAAAACCATCATTAATTAGGGTATTTCTTTATGAAATGCATCACTTATAAGCATAACCACTGATTTATTTTAAAAAAAGACCTTTTGTTCCTGGATTGTATCAAATGCTTCTTTTGTTCTTAAAACAAGCTGGTCCTTATCCTTGATTTCCTGTTCCAAAACAGCTACTTTTGTTTGTAGCTGATTAATATGCTTTTCTTTTTCATGACATTCAGCATCTAGTGTAGAATTCTCTCTTCGTAAAGACAGAACTTCTTGCTTAGTCCGCTGGAGCTCCTTGAGGTGAAAATAGATGTTTTATAGTATTTAAAAAGGGCAACTGGGTGGTCTGATTATTTATAAATGAAGATGTTTACAAGATTAATAAAAGAGTTTTAAATAATTTTAAAGTCTAGTAGGTATGAAGGGCTGGAAGCCAGAGTGGCATCCACTTCCAAAATGGCTTGCTTCTGGAAACTCTAAGAACAGTGCTCAGGCCTTTTGTTCATAGGGTCGCTATGCGTTGTCTACGACTCAACGGCACCTAACAACAACAAAAGGTATGAAAGGAGCTCTGGTGGCCTAGTGGTAAAGAGCGGTGTTGTTAATCCCAAAGGCAAGTGGTTTGAATCTACCAGCTGCACTGAAGGAGAAGGATGGGCAATCTCCTCCTGTGTGACTTTCTGCCTCTGAAAACCTGCTGGAGGGACAGCTATGAGTAAGTTCCAACTCAGTGGTACTCAACAACACAAGTTTCTAAAAGACATAAAAGCTTATTATATGCCCAACTTGTAGATGCAGATTATTCACTAAGTAAGGTAAGAATGAGTTTACTGGTGCTTGCTTACTATTCGAGTGAACAATTTCACTTCATGTATGCCATTTGGAACTGTTAAAAACACCAGACTAACATTAAAAGTACACTCAAAATCTGAGAGTTGTACCAGTTGATCTTTAAATACAAAAAATTTAAAAATCCAAGTCTGTATCTTAGTTCTATTCTGAAATAAGCTCTTTTTTCAAGATAAGAAATTCTCATTTTTCCCCCATTGCCTGAACTGATTATCTTAACACACACAAGAAAACCTTGAGTCAACTGCATCCAAGAAAAGACCACAAAGAAACAAATACACTAACATTAACCAAATGAAAATACACTTAAGATTTAAACTAGGGAAAAAAAAACACAACAAACCCCTCAACATTTATTACCTCTTCAACACTGGAAAGTTTTGCCTTGAGTTCTCTGACAGTGGAGTCACCTTTATATCTTCGTTCAGTTAGGTCTTTATTAGCCGTTTCTAACTCAGACAATCTGTTTTGTAGCTGGTTAATATTTCGTTGATGAAGAATTTCTAAATCTTTTTTCTGTTGTTCTTGTTGCTGCTGATACTGAACTTGTGCCTATTACATGCAAAAAGATAGCATAAAAATCAAACCAGAAATGCAAACAAGGATTTGAAGAAAAAAACATCTATTCTATTTTATAATTAAGTTTTCTAAATTTACAGTTAATGATTTCATTATTGAGAAAAGTCATATCAACACAAGAAAATTTACCAGCAAGATCTTGTTCGTGATTTCTACTTTTCCTAAATGTGTGTGTGTGTATATGTATTATATATAGCAAAAAATGGTCAAGTTAATGAAATTTAAAAAAACACTGCAGAATTACATATGTATAGCATAAGCCTATATGTGTTATAAGAATGAAGCAAGAGGCACATGAAAAGAACTTTCAGTTTTTGCTTTCAACATAATTATATCATTGAAGAGGATGCTAAATAATTTAAGAGAAAGCCAAACAGTGAATATTATAAAGTTACTAAAAGGAGTATTTGAAATGATATGGAATAGCATCCTTATAAAACTAAGTTAAAAAATAGCTGTAATGAATATATGCAATAGGGCTCTACTTAAAATCAAACAAAAACCCCACTATAACTCTATGTATATACCTACAATTATATAGAATTTACATATGCATAGAGCAAAATCTACAGATACACACATTAAAATACTTGTAAGGAGAGGAGCCAACAGATTGTGACCACAGAAAAATCCACCCAAGGAATGGCTGTGTTCACCAAGCCCACCTGCACCTATTTCCAGAAGACACTAATCATCCTCAACCATTTGCCTTTCAAACAAGTGTTCCTGGAACTTGTCAATATCAAAGTCACTCCTGACCCCAGAGCCATTCAAGATTATCTGCAGCAGCTCATGGGTGCACAAACGGTGCTTTGTGTTTTGTTAGGCAATGATTGTTTAGGTGGATGCTCTGATCTAGAAATCCTGCAGCAGCATGGTAAGCTGCAGAAATGGCTAATAGATATGGGAGTACTACAGTAATTATAGAACAGACCCCAAACTGATGACCCCCTGGGAGTGGGAGAGCATTGCACATTGGTTGATGGATTTGGGCTGTACTTTCCCAGTTATGGCAACTGCTTACTTAAAATTATAAAATAGACTAACTGGGAGCATGGGGGGAAGAAAAAGGAGGAGTGGTGGAAGAAGACTGTTGGCAAAAATGACTTTGTTCTTTTGGATAAATATTAAAAAGTGGACCGATTTTCCCAAAAAGAGTCAAGAGAAAATAAAATCATTTGTAAGGTATTTCTAGGTAATAAGATCTTTGTTAGCAGCACAATATGCTACAGACTATATCACTAGAACCTTATAATTAAGACTTAGAATTAATGCACATCCCCCCATACCTATCTGTACATATATATGCTTCTGTAATGAAAATCTCAAAGCAATCATGTAATACTTTCATCATTAACAAAATAACCAAAAAAGAAAACTACATTTTTCTACTTTCCTTTAATGTTCATACCTGCAAAGCCTTTTCCTTCTCATTTGTCAGTTCCTGAGAATGTGTATTTGTCAATGCTGCTGTGTGAGATGTCCATTCATTCCGAAGCTTATCTATTTCTTGGATTTTTTCTGATAATGTCTGTATTAAGAGTTCAATACGAAATTAAATCAAACTAGTTTCCTGAATATACTTCAAATTATAGCAATATTTACAAGAGCATTAAAGAAAATGTCCAGTTTTTAAGACAGAGTGAAAGCATTTTCTTATTATGGGCATATCAAGTTGAGTTTGGTTCATATCAACCCTATGTACAACAAATCTGAACCCTGCCCTTTACTATGCCACCCTGATCGTGTCTGCCACACTTGAGCCTGTGTTATAGCCACTGTGTCAACCCAGCTCACTGAGGGTCTTCCTCTCCTTCGCTAACTCTCCACTCTTCCAAGCATCACGTCTCTTCTCTAGGATTGGCCTCTAATGCTGAAAGTATGGAACATCCTGGCTGTGCTCTTTCTCAAACATTTTCTTTGTCCTATGTAGATTTTTTTTTCCATTTGAGGAAAATCAAGATTGGAGTGAAGCAATTTTAGTACTCGAATGATCTACAATCCTATCTTTTAACCTTTTATTAGTTCAATGTAGCTCTTTACCACAAAATCTCCTCAGGCATTAAGAAGAAAAACAACTAACACTTCCCTAGAATGGGTCATGCTATAAGGGGATTTTTCTGCATAAAACTATGAAGCTTATCTGATACTCTGTTCAATGGGGAACTAGGGATAAATGATTGTAGCTATGATTGAAAGGATAAGCCTAGAGAGGCCCAACAGAGGAATTAACTCTAAACCTAACAGAAGAAGAGAAAGAAAAATAGGTTTAAAAGACAGGAACTAAAAGGATTTTTAAGTAAGAGTAAAGAGGAAGGCCCTGGATGAGATGGATTGATACAGTAACTGGGGCAATGGGGAAAGGTATGTTGGAATCACTAAAACAGGCTCAGGACAGGGCAGGTTTCAGAGTTGTTTTACAAAGGGTTGCTATGAGTCGCAATCAACTGGACAGCACATAACAACAACAACAACAAAAATAACAATGAGATGAACTAAAAAGGGAGCAAAAAGTAACACAATTGGTGCTTTTCATACATTATTTTAAGAAAGACTGTGGCAAACAAACACATGAAGAAATGTTCAAAATCCCTAGCTCTAAGAGAGATGCAAATCAAAACAACTATGAGATATCATCTCACCCCAGTAAGA